TTCTCAAACAGACACACAACACACACTTACGCTGCCCAAGGTTTTGCCCCTCGGTCAGTAGGAATGTTCATGTTTTTAAATCCTGCATACAATTAAATAAACACTGGTACTTTTTTTAAATCTGGAAATAAGCAATGCCCTGAAGAATTAGGGCATTCAATCCATCGATGATTAGACGAACATCTGTTGTCTTCAAGGCAATTCTGATTCATGGTGACAGCAAGTGTTGGACAAAGCCTATCTAAGAAACACTAACTCATCATTCAAGGTCTTCATGATAGATATTCTGATTTTTTTAAATGTTCAATTATAAATATAAAAAAAAAACAGGAAATGGTTAGAAAACAGGGGGGCGCATCTGCTAAATGTCAATAATTGTATTAGGGGGAAAAGAGTCAACTCCTACCCACTGCAACCCTATAATTCCATAAGTCTAATATAATTAGAATTTTGCTAAGTTTTCCCATGTTTTTTCTGTATATCCTTAGGTGAATGATAAACCACCATCTTCCTATATTATGAGATGAATATGTTTCTGTACCACTGAATGATATCCATAAGCTTTCAAATCTAATGGTTGCCTATTTCTTAGATGGATGTACTATAATGTATTTAATCATTCTCTTTATGGTTGAAATTTAGGTTGTTCCACTTTTGTTTGTTTGCTTGCTTTACAGTCATTAAAAATTCATGCTTTCATAAACATACAAAATCATGTAATATTTCTCCTTTTAGGATAAATCACCAGACCAAATGTAGATTTTATTCAGATAATAATTTCCTTAGTGAGGCAGGTTTCATTACACACTGATTTTGAAAAAGTACTTTTCATTATGCATGTGAAAAAAGACATGAGAGTTGCCTGAAGGAATAAAACCCAAGACTTGTCTCTCTGAAGGACAATTAGTTCCATAAATTATGAAACAGATTAATATTCCTTCCCCTGAAAGAACAGCAAACACTGCTCATAAGATGCAAGCAAAGTCAGGGCTAATGGCATAGACCGTTGCTTTGCAAATTGGAAATAGATTCCCAGGCATAAATCCTACAAGAAACTGTTTTCTATATTCAGCTAATACTCTAAAATCTATACAATGAGAACATTAACAGAAGCTTTAAAAAATTACTCCCTCAATACAAGAACACTTTGTTCCTTTAAACTGGCATTCCATGATGCTCACCTTCCCACACGATTGCTGAAGACAAAGCAGG